AATATTGTCATGAAAATCTAACTGATTGTAAAATATCTGAGAAGCTTGCGAACTTTTTTTAAATTTCTACCGCCTTACTGTCGAAAAGCTCCTTCATAAACATAAGTTGATGTAATCGCGTAAGTGTATTAAGATGGTATAGGAGGCACACATGCGTGTGTTTCTTCAAACATTGTTTTCTGAAAAAGAATTTGTAACTCCCCAACACTATTTTTACTGATGTAACAACAAGTTCGCAGAAGGCACCTGAGTTGCATTTAAGCTCCAAATGTTTGATTTGTTTCAATACCACTGATGCGTTTGTTCAGAAAATTGCATCAAATTAAATCCTGAAGATTATTTTGTCTTTCTCTTAGATTTGGAGCTCTGTTTTCGATATTTTTCCTACCATATATGTTCACAAAATGCATAACATTCTTAGGGAAAAAGTGCAACTATTAGGCTTCTTTTATCAGATAATTAGTACTTTTTTAGTTGGAAGAAAAAAAACACCGTATGGTTGTTTGATTCCATAGTGTTTTTGTGTTTCCTATTGTGAAGAAGTTGCGCCAAATCCGTATTTGGTGAACGTAGCCTGTCCATTGATTTTTTGAGTGTGATCTCATCCAAATTCTTGGGAATCTTTTTTTTTGAAAGTTTTTCACAAATTTTTGGCTTTTTGAGCACGGACTCGATCCATGATCTTTTTGTAAGCTCATTTTGTTTGAAATCACCAGTTCAAAAAGATTTGTCAGCCTATACAACGTTGCTGTCTTCCCAAGTTCTTCATCAAGTGCTTAGAAGTTTTTCATCCTACGAAAGCTGCGCCAAAACCATCATTAGGAAAGTCATCAAATTTCAAGGCAAAGGTTTTCCATCTTGAACAAACCGCACCAAATTCCCACTGTTTTTTTTTTCAATTTCTGAGCACAATTCCTTAAGAGTTTCAGCAAGAAAGTGGCAGTTTTCCAAACTTCGTTTTTGAAATGCCAAGCAAGTGTAACAAATCTGTTCTGTCTTGAAAAATCTATCATCATACTCTATACTAAAGCGCGAGCATGCTTCTATCCGATCGACATCAAGCGCTGTTCAAACTTTTCAAATAGCTAAGACATTAGGTCGTTCCGAAACTAATGTCGCTTTTTTCAAATGAACGCCTCATTTCATGGAATCAAGGTTTTCAAGAAATCTTAGGGGCATTCGATGCAGCGTTTCATCCTCTTTCTAGAGGTTGTAATTTCATTGCATAGTTTTCATTGAGCTTTCGAAAAATTAACAAAATCTGCAACTCATGCTTTTTGCCATGGTCAAGTTCGGCAATTTTTTAAAATTTGTGTACCTATTCCCCGAAGAAGTACAAATGACAGATAGATAGAGCAAACCCTATAGGACACAAGAGTAATTTTTCTTTTCCTTAGCTTGCTTCTTAGAGTTTCTGGAATCAGTTTTAAAATGTCATCAAATTCCATATTTGGTCAACTCAAACCTCACAGAACAACAACCCGCAAGCAACTCGGGTGTCATTCGACGCAGCTTTTTCTCCTCTTTTTACCAGCTGTTTTTGGTTTCCAATTCATCAAGTTTTCCAAGATAAATTCATCGTAACTCAGGTTTGCCAGGGCGCCTCCGGCTAAACCCGGAATTTTCGAAAGCTGCTAATTTGAAGCGGTAAACGCTCATTTGCGTTTTAAAGGTAGTGCAAAACCATAATCCATTTTTTGTAAGTTTCAAAATCCGACGATTTCTTGGTGTTTGATGCATTTGTGTCTGAGACGAGCCTGCTAAAATTCGGTGGTTCCATCAAAAAAAAAAATAAAAAATAAAAAAATCTATAAAAAAATTATGACGAGCCCTGAAAAGTAGAAAAAAGTTGTGCTGTTTCCCGTAGGGTTTGCTCTATCCATCCATTACTTGGACTCCTTCTGAGGTTTGTTATAAAATTTTAGAAAAATTGTGAAACTTGGCCATCTCAAAAAGCATAGGTCGCAGATTTTGACTCTTTTCTGGAAGCTCATTGACTATATTGCAACAGCTTCATAACCATTAGAAAGAGAATGAAATGCTGCATCAAATGCTGCCAGAATCTCTTACACATCTTTGTTCCACGAAATGTGGCGTATGTTTGAAGAAAGAGACATTACTTTCGGAACGACCTAATATAAGAAACAATACCTCCAAAGGAATGACGTCTTCATTAGATTTGGATGTAAAGAGTTCTCCTAGCTAGGAAAGCGTACTCCGAAAAGTTCAAAAATATTCAAAAGCACATCACCGCGATCGCGACCAAAGTTCCTCGAAAAAGCTCTATGTTAATTGAATCCACCGCTAACATCTCAGCTATGAAGAGACAAGATGGACTGCTGGCTTCACTAACCACCAACTAAAGCTATACTAGAAGAAGTGTAATGTTGCAAAATTTAGCGTGGTTCAAGGTATATCATAGTCTCAAACCGTGGAAGTTCGGAAGGTGGCTAGATATATCCAAGAATGTTGAGTTAAATTTTCTTCGACTCAGTTTTGCGAAGAAATAAAAATAGCAGTTCAGAGGAAGTGGAAGTTCCGCAGTAGAGGGACACTTAATGTGAGGAGCAGGAGCTAGAGAACAGTCGGAATTGTGAATGGCTGGGAGTTGCCGAATGTGAGAAGGAAACTCCGGCATGAAGTTTTACGGCATCCGGATGATCCTCCCAAGATGTGGAAGGAAAATTTTGGGAAGTACAGTATGTGTCAGTCGTTATCAGGCGTGACGTTGGCCGAAACCGCGCACCAGCAAGAGTTCGCGTTGCATTAGCGCGTTTATAGTAGTCCCGGGAGATTGAAAATGAGGCAACAAACAGGGTCCAACGCGATCACCTCTAGCAAATCGCCTACTGAGTCAAAACTATGACGTTGCAAAGCGCGTCATATTAGTTTTGGCCAGATTGGGATGAGGACAGACTGTGAAACGTAAGTAGCATTTTGATCACAGTGAGTTAGATTCGAAAAGTGTGGATGCAAGAAAAGATGAGCAGTTCATGTAGTTCATATCGAAACGTAGGGGATTGGAGGATGGGGGGGGGGGGGGAGGGAGGGGAAGGAGGAGGAGGAGAACTTGGCTCAAAAAACCCTGGAAAGACAACAATACTCAAATTTGCAGGACGCAAGTTGAGTAAATTTTAGACATACGAGCGGATGACGGTGACGATAGATGAGGCTGTGAGAAAGTAGTAGAAATTTGTTGCTTTTTGTTGAGGGAATTTTTAGAAACTTCCATGCAAATAAGAATTCGTAAATTGACTTTGATAACCTCTGGATCGTTACGTGGCCAAAAATTTCACGCTTTACTTCGCTAAAACTTCAAAGATTTTAACTTTTAGTCACGTCTACACTTCACGCACACAGCCAGTCCAAAGCGCCGCAAAGCGGCGCTTTGGACTGGTCTTATATATAAAGCTGAATGTCTGTTTGTATGTCTGTATGTCTGTATGTATGTCTGTCTGTCTGTCTGTACTATGTTCCGAATAGAAATTCCATTTCTGAACCGATCCGGACCAAACTTGGCACACATGCACTTCGGGCCCCGGCGGGTGTCATAGGCTACTTTTCGTCATCGATCGATATCGATTTTATCGATTTTTTGCAAAATTTGAGCTACGGGGCTGGGAGTTGGCACAGGGGGGTAATCGAGCATGCTGATCACCCCCGTGGGAAAGAGGGAAAAGTTTATCGTGATTATATTCATCCTTCGTATAAATGGCACGTGAGTATATGTTGAGAACGATTTAGGAAAACGAAAACATTGTAGGCACGCAGATGTATTTACAGACCGAAGTTCGGCTTCATACGAGATATACCCGAAAACGCTTATTGATGATGGGGAAAAGTGGCAATATAAAAGACAGCTAAGATGGAGGTAAGGTTTCCTCCCAGGGTTAAGACAATACGCAAGTCTCATCTTTCGTGACCGTATAAATCAACGTAGTATTGCGTTATAAGATCTCTCGCAGCACCGCCTGTTTGTAGAAGATCCGTGTTCCTCAGTGGATGGTACGCGTTTTGTGCACGTCTAAATCTCTCCAATTCTGCCAAGCTGTCCTGTCTTCGGGGAAGCATGTTGTGAAGGATCTATAGCCATTGCTCAATACCTCAATGTCAGGAATCGCTTCAATAGTCAACTGGGCTAACCATGAGGGAAACAACCATCCGCTTAGCTCGCTCTGGAGTCAAGGTCATCCGCGTCATCAAAATTTGGAAACGCTGAGCCAGCAAACCAAAGGTTCTATCATATGCTGAGCTCTAAATACTATTCCTCCACATCGTCATGTCGACTAGGTGATAAGTTACTCGCTTAATTGTCGGTTGAATCGCCTTCTATCTCCTGTAGTCGTTTCGGGCTCTCTATACGGTCTGATAAATCTGCGGCCCTGAGCGAAGCCGCCGTCCACCACTCAGATAACCGCCGGTGGCAGGCGGCCATGCGAATTTTGAGCAAGCGCGCACCGAAAAAATAGTTCGTTGATTTTTTGCGGCCCGCTTGCAGAAATTTGGAAGAAAGTTGGCGAAATCAAAGACGAATGCTTGAAGAACAATCGCGGTTTCTTTATGGATTATCTGCGGCGCAGTGGCCGCATTCTCGCGGACTTTCCGCGAAAATATGCAAAAATTTCGAGGGCCGCACGGTCCTTTGTGGAGGACCGCGCAACCCCCAGGTACTTTCCGCTGAGAGAAAGTACCTCAAACTTGAGTAATTAAACCAACGGTGACACCTCTGCCACACAGAGTCTTACCTGCGCTCGACGTACGCCCGAAAATGCCTTAAAAGAGTCCGAGCGCTTGCTGAAAGTTTGGCCAGCGCTCGCTGAAAGAAATTATTTGCCGAGCGCTTGCAAAAAATGCTGTATTGCTGCCCTCTTGCAGAATATGCGACCGTAAAGGAAGTGCCGCCCGCTGAAGGTTTGGCCACGCCCCAAAATTCTGCTGACCGCCTGCAGAAAAGCGCGAGTTTGCGGACCGCCTGCCCCCGGCGATTATCTGAGCAGGAAATGATATTGGACAGGGCCCACTCTTCCAAACCCTCTCCTGGGAGGGAAAACATCATCGTGACGTTCCAGCCATCTCTGAATTCCCGAATCAAACCTCCGTATTTTCTCATTAGCGAACCAGACGTTGATAGGGGAATTCCGAAACACGCCAGCATCACCACGGCGACCAGGGGCTCCAACGTCGTACGCCATAAAGCGAACGAGGTGCGAATATATTCACACCTCGTTATCAATATGAAGATGTTTTAGAGGTGTTAACGAACGATACACCTGTTTCAGATCTTGCGTTTCACCGAAAACAAGTGTTGCTTTTACTACATTTACAACTTATGTCGCCAGCGTGTATGGTTGCTGAATGCTTAGCACCAGGTATGCTGTCTAAGTTTTGTGAAGGCTGCGTTTTTTTGTTTTCTCCGCCGCATGCAACTCTGTGGGAATGCATCTTGTTCTCATAGCGAAATGATGCAGCGTTGTGTTGCTATGACGGAACTCTTTTCATAACTTTCCCGATTCCCTTTCATATGCCATCGTGTGTAGAAAACGCTTCTCATGCTTATATCTACTTTATATCTGTATAAACATGGAGGTGGGCTGGTATCCCAGTTAGCTCTTCTATTTTCAGTCGAGTAGCGAAGAAACCATGCGCAGAAGAGCATAATTGGAAGCGATGCTTGCTCAATGCCCAGATAAGCTAGTCTTATATTAATTGCGCATGTTCCTTGTGTTTTTGAGAGTATATGATTGAAATCAAGTTCAAAGCAAATATCTTTCTCACGTCACCATACTTTCATTTGCTCATGCTTGGCGGACTTACTGACAAGGAAAGGACCCTCGGTCGAAGTGGGGTTCCCACACACGATGCATATCATTGTGCTGGTCTTGGGGCACTAATAACAAATCCGTGTTCCTTAGCTGCTCAATGATCTTCTGGGAAAATTTACGAGCGATGGTTTCCCCAGGCCACGAATGGCTTAAGTTAGCGGCGCCGAGAAATGTCGTTTCTGGAGGGAGGCCGATTGGATAGCTGCAGAGACTATAGAGGAGGTGGTAAACGTTCGGAATACTTATGTTCTGAATATACTTGCATTTTTGCAAATTATTCAACGGGTTTCGGGTGTTTTCCTGCCTTAGAGTCCTCCAAGGATACATATCAAACAATACATTCTACAAAATGAGAATGTTTGGAACATAAATATTCGTAACTTTTACCACTCTTTCTCCATAGTTTTCCAGTTACCTACTCGGCCATACCTCTACAACTGACATTTCTCGGCGCGCTAACTTGAGCGATTAGTGATCATCCTGGTTAAACCATCGCTCGTAAATTTTCCCAGAAGATCATTGAGCAGCTAAGGAACACGGATTTGTTATTAGTGTCCCTAGAACAGCACAATGATTTACATCACGTGTGCGAATCCCACTTCGACCGAAGGTCCTTCCCTTGTGAGATCCAACGATGCTATTTTCTAGATCCACCGAGAACACTAGAAGCATTAGGTCACTTTATTTTCAAGTCAAGAATGACTATATTGTTGTGCAAAGTATCTGTTCTTACACCTGCTGTAGTGTAGCTAGTACTCAAAATGAAGGATGTAATATTTAGGGAATCGCCTCATTATTATCACATGCTTCAGACATATAGCTGACTGGATCACTTCAAGGAGTAGTGTGCTGGTATGTTACTTGCTTTTCTATTCTTGTGATCTTGGATATAATTACTATTTGGTATCCATAAGCAAGCCGTGTAGTATTCACTTATAGGTTTGTATTAGAAAGAAGGAGTGGGTTCATGCTTAAGGACGGAGAAATCTGTGGTCGCATAACAAGCATCTTAGCATAGGACACATCCAAAATGATTCTCTACTCATGACAATGTAAGTTTGTACTGCAATCTACTATCTTATCATTTATCAACGCGAGTTCCTTTAGCAGTGAACATTTTTGCTGTCAACTAATTGACTGCACGAAGTATTGAGGGGGAGTCGCCATAACTCGTGGTGGTTCTTTGCCACAGTAGACCTTTTGCTTAATAATCAAACCCCGGTTTCTTCAACATTGATTTTTGGATTGATTGAATAAAGATAACAATGTGATGATGTAAATATTCCCACAGCGGCATTATTCACTTTTGTTTAGAATAGTCAAAAGAGTTTGCGATGATGAAATTCTGAGTAAAGATTTTGCTACTTTTTTGTGTGTATCATGTGAGGAAACAATTTTTTTCGCTTTTGCTAACATTACACCTCGCCTTGCTTCAACAATGTTAGTTCTTCGGCCATAAATGGGAGGAATACAATCACAGCTTTGACTAACCTAGAATCTTTTTCATCAGAGAACCTACGTCTTTTTGTCTGCGCCATCTCTTCTAGGGTTTTAGCAGACTCCTTTTCAGCTGTTACGAAATTTGGATAGATAATTTGCTCCCAGTGTATTTAAACTTTATTTCGGAGAATACCTTGATGTCGGGGGAGGAGGCGAACTGCACTGACATGTGCATGCATCGCGTTCGTAACTTTGTAGTGTAGCGCAGTCATCCTTCAATTACCTTGTATGTTGCAGAATGAGCTACGAATCATTATCGAATTTTTTGGAAAGTTTGGAGTTTTTGTACGCTATGAGCGAGCCTACTGCAGGCCAGATATCTCCGCGGCGGAGGCGGCAGTATGTGCGGCAAGAGCACATTCGATTCGTTGAAACTCGCTTCCGGATTTTTGACGAACACCTGGTTACGAGGAGGCCTGAGGGTTTTCTCGAATTCATCAAGCTCTTGCCTGATGAATTTGAGGACCTCCATGAAAGAATAGGAAGTGGGTTAGAGCATCCCCGTACTCAACTTGATCCAGTAACCGGCCGTCACAGACTGATGATCTACCTCAGGTGAAAGCTTGGGGAACTGATAACGTGAACTAAACCGCTGATAACATGCATTGTCCCTTCAGATTTGTGACGCAGAGTGGGACTTACACCGCTTATGCTTTGGACATAGAAATGGGGAAAACAACAGTATCGAATGTGGTAGAGGAGGTGGCAGAAGCCATAATAAGGGGTATAAGCAGAACGCCGGCTATATGCATTACCACCAATCGTGATTCAGTTCTGCATAATGTTGCTTTTCCACCTCTAACACGTGCGAGACTAGAGGAAGTAGACAGAAAGACACAGGCACGGTTTGACTACCCCAGGGCGGTGAGTTCATGGACGGCAAACACATAAATATCCAGGTTCTCAGTGCTTATGCAAGATCAAGATGTATACAACGACAATGTGTGTTTAGAAGCCCGCCCGCTCTGGAAGTATGTTCTGGAACTTAAACATTACCACTCGATCATTCTCCTGGCAATATGCGATTGTGATTATCGCTTTATGGCGTACGACGTTGGAGCTCCTGGTCGCCGTGGTGATGCTGGCGTGTTTCGGAATTCCCCTATCAACGTCTGGTTCGCTAATGAGAAAATACGGAGGTTTGATTCGGGAATTCAGAGATGGCTGGAACGTCACGATGATGTTTTCCCTCCCAGGAGAGGGTTTGGAAGAGTGGGCCCTGTCCAATATCATTTCCTGCTCAGATAATCGCCGGGGGCAGGCGGTCCGCAAACTCGCGCTTTTCTGCAGGCGGTCAGCAGAATTTTGGGGCGTGGCCAAACCTTCAGCGGGCGGCACTTCCTTTACGGTCGCATATTCTGCAAGAGGGCAGCAATACAGCATTTTTTGCAAGCGCTCGGCAAATAATTTCTTTCAGCGAGCGCTGGCCAAACTTTCAGCAAGCGCTCGGACTCTTTTAAGGCATTTTCGGGCGTACGTCGAGCGCAGGTAAGACTCTGTGTGGCAGAGGTGTCACCGTTGGTTTAATTACTCAAGTTTGAGGTACTTTCTCTCAGCGGAAAGTACCTGGGGGTTGCGCGGTCCTCCACAAAGGACCGTGCGGCCCTCGAAATTTTTGCATATTTTCGCGGAAAGTCCGCGAGAATGCGGCCACTGCGCCGCAGCTAATCCATAAAGAAACCGCGATTGTTCTTCAAGCATTCGTCTTTGATTTCGCCAACTTTCTTCCAAATTTCTGCAAGCGGGCCGCAAAAAATCAACGAACTATTTTTTCGGTGCGCGCTTGCTCAAAATTCGCATGGCCGCCTGCCACCGGCGGTTATCTGAGTGGTGGACGGCGGCTTCGCTCAGGGCCGCAGATTTATCAGACCGTATAGAGAGCCCGAAACGACTACAGGAGATAGAAGGCGATTCAACCGACAATTAAGCGAGTAACTTATCACCTAGTCGACATGACGATGTGGAGGAATAGTATTTAGAGCTCAGCATATGATAGAACCTTTGGTTTGCTGGCTCAGCGTTTCCAAATTTTGATGACGCGGATGACCTTGACTCCAGAGCGAGCTAAGCGGATGGTTGTTTCCCTCATGGTTAGCCCAGTTGACTATTGAAGCGATTCCTGACATTGAGGTATTGAGCAATGGCTATAGATCCTTCACAACATGCTTCCCCGAAGCCAGGACAGCTTGGCAGAATTGGATAGATTTAGACGTGCACAAAACGCGTACCATCCACTGAGGAACACGGATCTTCTACAAACAGGCGGTGCTGCGAGAGATCTTATAACGCAATACTACGTTGATTTATACGGTCACGAAAGATGAGACTTGCGTATTGTCTTAACCCTGGGAGGAAACCTTACCTCCATCTTAGCTGTCTTTTATATTGCCACTTTTCCCCATCATCAATAAGCGTTTTCGGGTATATCTCGCATGAAGCCGAACTTCGGTCTGTAAATACATCTGCGTGCCTACAATGTTTTCGTTTTCCTATATCGTTCTCAACATATACTCACGTGCCATTTATACGAAGTGATGAATATAATCACGATAAACTTTTACTTCTTCTTGAAATCCAAAACTGTACAAAAGCTTCGAAAATGTAAACCCTATCGTATCAACCGTACTTCACCGAGATCCAAAGACTAAGAATCTTACTAAAGAGTCTATCGAATGCTTCTCAAAGTGTGGAACTGCTAAAGCTACTGGTAACAAAAAAATGAAAAGTAAACAAAGAAAATGCACTCAAAATCATTCTTCGGGAGATGGTTCTCTTACATTGTCTTCGTAGTGCTTGACTACTTGGATTGGCAGACTGCTCTTAGATCGATATGCCTCTTCTAAGCACTGGCGAAATTCCTGCAGTGTAGTGACATGTCTAACTTCCGTCACCAGAGTCGTTACTATGACATGTATCTTCTCTTGAGCTTTCGCTTCGTCCATATCTCTCAGGTTTTGAGCCACGAAAATGCCTGAAAACACCGAATAGCTCGATCAATTGAGCCTGAAAACTCACCAAACGTATCGAACTTGTCATTCCTTCTAACCGCCTCCACCCTTTCTTTAACTGTGTTTATTGCCTCGCGAAGAGCACCTCTATCTGAAACCGAGCAGATCAGTTGAAGAATGCGTGGGGAAGTATCTTACCTTCATCACACATGTCAACCACTCGGGATCTTTTCGGGGTCTGGGTCTTTTTCTTTTTAGAACGCTGTCCAAGTGGCGGTATCTCTATTTCTTCAACAGGACTCTTTCGGTTCGTTGATCCGTATTGAGAACTACGATGGAAAATCTAAAACAGTTCCGATGTATTGTGTAAGAAGAGCATAGGGCTCTACCGTTTTCATCGTTCACGTCCTCCTCATCGCTCACATTTAAATTCGAAACTCGCGGCCTGAAATACAGCAAATTTCGTTTCAAAATTAGTAGCGTTAGAGAGACGTACGCGTCCACTTCAGCTTGATCCGGAAATGCCAGATATCTGAAAATTCCTGTGCGAGTTGCTGCTTGTCCTGATTTTCCCTTTCGGCACTTCCTGTACCTACTGCGCATCGCCTTCCATTTCATTTTCACATCATCTACGGAAACGACCCTTGATAAAGTTGAAAAAAAAGTTTTAATTAACTTACAATCAGCCGCGATACCACGTTCAAGCAACAAATCGACAATTTTGTTCCATGTGGCGCGCAGGTCCTTATTGTGATAGTCATCATGCGATGGCAACCATAGGTTCGGATGCTTTTCCACTAAAATTGCGATGTGTTCTCTGATGTTCATCCTGCCTGCAAAAGAGAACTTTGAGATAAGGAGTTACGACATAAAGTTGTAAATGTAGAGAGAGCAAACAACACGACTTAAAGGCAGTGTCTCACCAAAGTTGAGGTCCGCGGATTTTCACATATTCTTTTAGACGTCTAAATAGTCCATTGCAACAAGTCCCACTCAATTTGACCCCCTCCACGCTGAGAAAAATTCGCTCAAAGTGGTACGCAAGGAGCGACTTAGTACGCGCGGACGACTCCTTCGGTCTCCCCCCTTACGCGTTTGAACATGTCCCTCCACTTGGCATCCACCTCCCCTCTGTTGCTGCCACTGTGGCTGAGGCTGAAGTTGGAAGGTACAACTCTCCACGTTGCTTCCGCTGGGCCTCCAGAAAACGGGGTTTTTGGGAACTTCGTGCGATTTTAGGCCCATACAGTGCTAGACAGGATCCGACAGGCTTGCAAAGTGCAAAAAACTCGGCAACTAAATTTTGGTGAGACACTGCCTTTAAGTTGTTATGCAAATCACGACATAGAGTTGTAAATGTAGTGAAAGCAACACTTGTTTTCGGTGAAACGCAAGATCTGAAACAGGTGTATCGTTCGTTAACACCTCTAAAACATCTTCATATTGATAACGAGCTGTGAATATACCTAAAATTAGAAAAAAGGACGTTCACAGCAAGATACTGAATCATTCGATTTTGCCTTACGCGGCACCAAGTGACAAACGCAGAACGGGCTCGTTTAAGCGGCGCCTAAACTGTGCGGGAATCATAGGAATCGCAGGAATCATCTGGAATAGTATGGCCGATCCCTTAGTGTCCCGGGTAGGGGAACGAAAGCCGTCCGTTTGAGCCGCCTTTCGCGGCCAACTGGTCCCTTTCGCAGTGTTGTTGCATGTCGTCCCAGGACCAGCAGTCCGCGGAGGCGGCTCAAACTGGCGGCTTTCGTTCCCCTACCCGTGTGGCCCTACCTATGCAAAAATGCGGTTAGGCGTCCAGTCGCATGTTGGGGACTACAGACACTACATTTCTGACGCGCAAATATGAATGAGTTTGGATTGACAATTGTAAACTAATTAGAGTTTGAAATCTGTGGTACACTGGTTCGACTATTTTATATTTGAGATTGATTGATAGGAGAACTTTAGAATTCATATTCGATTTATGTGCATCCTTTATCTTGTGAACTATTTGGCGGGTTCTTATTTTATTCCTTTATTTTGAATCCAGTTTTATCTCGGAAGCTTTGTCACTAAAGAATTTCTTTTCATAAGGTGAGCTGGACAGCTAGCCTTTTTCTAACTTTTGAGACTAATCACACGTCATAACTTAAGTGATAGATCCTGATGTTCTTCCACGCGCTCTAATTCGTCGAAAGGGTCGCACTATTTTTGTGCCCCAAAGAGTGCTTCTTCTCATTTTTAATCTACTCTCACTTTAGATATTGCCGAGCCGTTTAACAGCACTTTATTGGTTTTGGTCACGGAATGGGGGAGTTCGTGGAACAAAGCTTGGAAAGTTTACTTCCAACTTTCGAACAGCTCAGCTTCGTTCAGTTGTTCACAGAGAGTGAAGTAGCTGCTTTCATCAAGCGCTGTCGACAGTTCGAGTACAGACTTAATAAACATGTAAGTCATACATAAGCCTTTTGAAAAGGCTTTGAAGTTTTTTCTAGTAAATTTTCACCTGTTTGATTTTTTTCTGTTAAGGAGAAAACACCTAGAGATTTCGATCTCTATGCTGACTACCTGTGTGACTTCCTTAAGCTGCTGAAAGCTCGCCGAACAAGAATGCAGTATTGGCAGAAACTGAAGATTATAGATAGACCGTTGCTCAAGAAAGTTGCTAGCATCTATAGAAGAGCGGCAGATCGTTTTCAGGTAGGAAAGAGTCATTCAGACTTGGCATCTATGAAATCCATATAGGAGTTCTAGGGAGATTTCCATCGTTGGGAAAAGCTCATCAGCTTTTTGAGTGAGCACACAATGCGCCGTGAGTTAGCAGCTGCATACACTAGGGCTTTACAGGTATGTATTTTTTCGGAGGTACCGTTTTTAAGCCGTATTGGGTTTTACTCACTTGACTGCTTTGAAGTACGCTAAATCAAACTCTCGAAGTGAGAGAGAGGAAGACATAATAGACAATCAATACATCTCATATCTGGTTTGCCCTTCTTTACTGTCAAGGAAGCGACCAAATATAAAGTGAAACACTCAGTTATTGCTAAATGCATTTTTTAGGCTTCTGGTTTGTGAAAACTCTGAAAACGTAGTCTGGTGTATATTTGAGTAATCCTCCATTGCCAACGAAAGACGCTAATTCCATCATTTCTTTCAGATACATGGACAAAATGAAAATCTTCGCAGAGATTTTGCCTTGTGGCAGTTTTTCTCCGCTGCTAGTCCTCAGAATGCCCGGACTCAAATATTGGCATCTCTCCGCTTGTTTCCACACTCACCCCTACTGTACACCGCTTTTTTCACAATTGAATTGCATTTCGTAGAAAAGTGAGTTAATTTTTATTCGGTTTTCTTTGCTATTTTTGTTTTATGTATGTACAGAAGTAATAGGGATAATGGTGTGATAATTTACGTTAACTAATCGCGCTATTGTCTTTCTGATATTGAAGCCGAAACAATTCAAAGATTTTTCCTGAGGCTGTAACAATGTGACTATTAGTGATTTTAGCCCCTTCTTTATTGAAAAATAACAGTCCATGGGCATCATATTCTTATAATCATCATTACTCCTAGTAATCAACATAAGTAAGGGTGATTGTAAGTTATGTGTACTCGACATAGTGCTGTTCGTGCCAAATGTTGGTTCAAGATCTGGGACAACGACTGCTCAGTCAAACAACTCAAGTAGGTCGATCTGACTTGGCTTTAAAGTACTTTTTGAGAGTGCTGAAACGGCGAAAGTTCATCACAGAAGAGCGAGGCAAACGCAAGAAAGATGCGGACGAAAGTGATACCGAACGTTAGTCAAAGTACGGCTTTTCTTATAGAGACCTCTACATTTTTTAAGGTGTGTACGACGAAGAGGTTTCGGACAGTATAATGAACTTGGACGTAGTTAGAACAGTTATCGAACAAGCTCTCTCCGCAGTCCCTCCTGCTCAGGCTTCAGGTGCATTACCACTCATTCTTGGTCATCGCCAGCACATCGTTATCTTTTATTTTATAGGTATGCTTGTGGAAATGTGGAAGGAATGCAGCAACGTTACTCTGGTACCCAACATTGAAAAAATCAAGAATTTCCTTGTGGACAAATTGAAGGAATTTGACAATGAGGACACGAGGTTGTTCGAGATTGAAGAGGCCTGCAAAGGCGGAAGCGTGAGTTTTCACATGTGTTCCTAATTGAAAGCCTTGGAATATGCGACTTTTTCTTTCAATATCTTGATTTACTGTTTGATATGGGCTTCGAAAACACCATGAAGATATTTATTGTGTCTTATTGTGTGGGTCACAACCTCTCTTCGTTTCACGTTGCTCTTGACTAAATCGTAGTGGACGATCATTAGCGAATTCCGATAGAGCATCATCTGTGATTTGTTCTTTTTCCAATCATAAGTTGTGCAATTTAGTCAAAATTTGATGCATTTGAATCGGCCGTTGCTAAAACACCCACCGAAAAGATGTATCGTCTCTACTTGGAGTGGCTCCGCGAATTGTCGACAAAAGGTTTGTATTTTGAGCGCATATCATCTCTTTCTTCATTTTTCCTAGTTTTGCAAACTGAGGCTTGGAAAATATTGACGCTCGCAGATGTTTCTTTGCAGTTCTCTTGCCGATTTTTAAAATTATCTTCATCATTAGTTCTATGCGGTAGTGTAGTATGTTTCAAGGGCGGTAGGCCTATTTGAGTTGACGCGTTTGCAACGGCTTGCACCCTGTTCTGACAGTTGCGTTATATCATGAAAGAACCCATTCGACTTTATATTCACTCTAACGTTTTGACTCAAGCTTCGTTAAAGCTGACTTGCCTTTCCACATTGAATGCTTTGGCCTGTTTCTGGTTGTAACACACTAATTTGTTGTTATATTTTGGCCAGCCTTTCTATCTTTCGAGTACACTGAGCTATCAGTTTAGATGCTTTCTCCGAAATGAAGACTCGGTCTCTATTGAGGAAGATTTGTGAAGGTGGCTGGATGACAAGTAAGGATTGGGTAGAACTTGAGAAGTCTATGGAAGAAGCTGAAGATGAATTTGACGATCAATTTCTTGAGAAATGTTCGCAGGTATGAGAACCTCTACAAGTCAGTTTTGATCTGTTGTTATGTTATTGCAACTACCCACCTTACGTTTGTTATGTGTTCTTGTACTTTTTTAGCAAAGACCGGAATCTGCTAGACTGTGGCAAATCTATCTTGAAAGGCGATTGGAGGGCAGCAGTGATCCAAGCCAGTTCAGGGAATTATGTAATCGTGCCCTGGAAAAGGTAGCCGATACTTTCTTTTTCTATGTATTTGTAGGTTATTACTTAAGGTTGATCCGGAAGAAAGTTTTCCCATATGGGAGCTCGCTATCGATCATACTATCATAAACGCACCTAGTGAAGTAGAGCAGGTATGAGGACTTCGACATCGTTTTAAGTCCGTTCCTCACAAAACTTTGCTAGGTGTATTTAGGTCTTTCAAGATGCCATCAAGCATTCACTCACCTCAGTCTCATCCAGAATCAAAATACTTTTCGTGGATTATCTTAAGCAACTGCTTGATGATAAAGTAATCACATTGAAACAATATAAGGACAGAATTACGAAGCTTGTGAGCAGCAAGCCTAACAGGTACGTCTCACATTCTTGCTATGCTCAAAATTATGTTCAAGCGCATTGCAGTTCCGATTTCTACTGTCATGTACATAGAATAGAACTGGATCGTGCAGATCCGGATGTGAAGTTCGCTGGATCTGTACTGAATGCAGCAGTGATCGAGGAGTCTGCTACAGTCGAGGCAGTGATATTATACGCAAAATGGGCATTGAAGTACGACATCTCGAAGTTTCATGTGGTTCACCAGGTATTTGATTACTTGTATGCATTATTCAGTCATCGCTCTCTCTATTATAGTTATTTTTATGATTTGAAGATATTCTTACATTGATGCAGTAACAAAAGACTGCTATGAACGCTTGTGAGGAAGGTTGAACATCCTAGCGTTGTCAAATTTGACGCAACGTATGCATTGTAAGTGTAGCTTTCGCCTTTAGGATTGGTGTGGTATCATCTCCATTTAGGAGGGTAACCCGTGCGCTGGTGAGAAAATTCGATTAAGATTCCTTTTGATTATGTGCTCGTACTTTTCCGCTCTGCTTGCGATGGAGAAAGTGTGATGCTTATGCTGCATGTGATTTATTTCATCTAGAGGAAAGCTCACTCAGTTACAACAAGACTTAAAACCAACTCGAGCATACTACCGCCCTATGCTAAATTATTTGCGAGTAGTAGTAGCTGGTCTGACATCCACATCATCCTCACCGTCAATCCAGGAAAATTCCACAAAGTGATTTTGTAACGCGGAGTTGATAATATCCCAAAAGGACAGTCAGTTGTCAGTCATCTCAGGAAATCTTTCACTTGCAATGATTGTGGTTTGTTTATTCCACTACTATACTTATTTTCAGACTGGTCTCAAGCTTTTCAAAGGTGTTGAACTTGATCACTTCCTGGTCGAATGGACGAAGCTAGTACAAAATCTGGCTAGTGATGTGGTGAAGGTTAACGACTTAATCAGATTTTTCAACATTTTTTGTGAGCGGATGTTGTTTTAGAACGATCAAGATAACGTTGTGAAAGAAGGGGAAGCTACCTCCCCCAAGCCTGTTGCTAAAGCCAAAGAAGAAGAGTGCATAAGTAAGTCGTAGTTCTACTTGATTATCATGTCAAATATTGTAAAATACGCTTTATTGACCCCCCCCCCCCTCAATTTTTTGTTTTTCAGCTACGGTCGCAGTTGATGATAATGAAAAGGAATCTAAAAAGCCGGTGAAACGAAGAAGTGTTTTGCGAAAGGGCAGCCCGCGGAAAGTAACCAAATTGAGATGATAATGATAGATGATAGAGAGTAACATTCTAAAAATTGTCTTGTTCTAAGGTTTGAATAGTGATTGTCTCTTTGTAGGAGTCATTTTTTGATACATTGCACATCAGCCTTTTAACCATCGTTGAAATTGTTGTTATTGTTGTTGTTGTTTATTTATATTCTTTTTGCCTTCTGAGTGATTTTTCATGGCCAATCCTGCCGTTCAGTTTGTTTCTCAGTGTCAGGAGTGTGTTCGATTTCGAAGACAGTAATAAAAATGTTCACCATTGGTGTTCTGACGTTGCGTCTAAGAGACTGGTGAAAATATCAAAACGAGAGAGCTGAATGGGAAAATCGGTGGAGTCGCCCTCGAAAGCCCTTAAAGGCAGCGGCTCGGCCGATTCTCGACTTGAAGTTCTTTTGCTTACCTGGGGGAATTCGAGGTGCTGATTCCGAAGATCCAGCTTGAAGAGCGCGAAAATGGCAAAAACCACTTTTCAAAGGCCTCAAATTTGGATTTGGACGTGTGAAGTGCGTCCCGCCATAGGCTGCGTTCAGTCTGATTTCGAAGTCCGGGAACAGTTTCAGCACAGCGCTCATCTCAAGCGCTGTGCTGGAACTGTTCCCGGACTTCGGGATCAGTATGAGAGTTAGAGAGGCAGAATCGTTGCGGGACCATTTCATTCAAAAGTGTGGCCTGGAGAGCGCATAAACGTCGGATGAGGGATCATCAGGGTTGAGCGTGGGGTCAGGCGCGCCCGACCTGGGGGATCGTGTTGAGGGTAAGACTGAGGTGGGGGGGTTGTAATTAAGAATCGAATTTGTTAAGTTGGGGAGATACTTTGAAGGTGAAGAAGAAATGCGCTAGTCCGGTGGATATCGCGATTACATGAAGGAATGACGGTCATAAACAGATACCTGATTGAACAAAATCCGACTGTTAATTAACCTTGGCATTATAATATACGATTAGTTTTTGAATTGTTTAAGCTTATCAAGGTGGTATAGAACTTAATAAAATGGCTGACGCGTTTCGGCGATTTATCGCCTTCTTCAGAGCGCTGTAACGAAAGTTTAGCCGCGACAATTAAAGACTTACGGCGGTCGCCATTGTCCACTATCCTGAGATAGCGGAACCGAGTAAACTGACGTGACCCTCCTCCGCTGTCTATTTATAGTCCCCAAGACGCTGATAAGCTGTAAGATCACTTATCATGGCTATACTGTCATCCTTTCTATTCATTTGGGGAGAACGGGCGGAGATGTAGAAAGCTTCAAGGGTTTTACGCGCTAGAATTTCAGATTCTTGCATTAAAATTGATGCGGCGACTTCTATGATGGTGTTTTGATGACATTCTATACGATGAGCCCCTAGTGGAGTGGAGATTTTGGACTTTTGTAGACCATCCAGATGTTCTTTGACGCGAGAAATTAGTGGACGTCCTGTTTCTCCTATGTAAGTTGCCCAGCAAGCATTACATACTATTTGGTAGACAACGCCGGATACCATACAATCTCCCTGTTTACCATACGGACAAATTGGGCAAGCATTAGTCATGCAGAGACGATCATAAGAGCGATTGCGTACTAATTGCTGCTTGAGATTTGGTGGAGGTATTTCTACCACCCTTACCATATCTTGCAATCCTGCTTGAACTAAGCTTTTGCGAACCTCCCGACTTATTCTATCTGGAATAAAGGGTAGGCAGAACGAAATCTTTTGATCCTCGAAACTTGTCCGTCTAGCAGCAGAACGTCGGGATTTGTGGAACTTCTGTAGAAGGTACCCATTACTACTTGCTACACTGTCCGCCATTTTTAAAGAGTGGATGCGTTCTTGGGGTCCAGATGAGACTTGCGATGCTGTTTTGTACATGTTTTTTATAACAGAATTCTTAACCCAGCGCGGATGTGCCGAAGTGTAGTGCACTAAGATATTTTTGCAACTAGGTTTGCGATACCATTTTGTCTTAAATTCCCCACTAGCAATTCTCACCTGCACGTTCAAGAATGCAAGCCAGTCATCCTTGGGTCTCTCTCTTGTGAATTGGATTTGTGAGTACTGCCGATTCAAAAGATCAAAACAAGTGTCCATTTCGCACTGAGTGGGGCATACTATCAAACAGTCATCTATGTACCTACAATACAGAAGAGGTTTGCGTTCCATGACTGGCGCTTCAACTTTGGACATGAATACGACAGCCAATACTGGAGCTATTCTCTGTCCCATGGCCAGACCTCTAACCTGCTTGTAATAGTGCCCCGACCATCGAAAAATGGAACATTGAAGACATTCGTTTACAAGGGTCATTATGCCCTTAACATCAAACCCATATAAGGCGAGAGTGGATTGATGTTGTGTTAAAAGCTCGAAGACTGCCTGCATGGCTGCTTTTTTCGGAACATTAGTGTAGATACTTGATTGTTTCAACAATGGAAGTTTTAGCCGAAATTCAAATTTTGATCTCTTTTACCTTGACATATGTGGTCGACAAGGAAGCTTGCTGTGTGAAATGGGTATCATTTCCATAATCAGCATGTCAAATTACCTCTATGCGCTCCACAAACCATTACCTAGCAGTCTAGTGTTTCTCAACGTCTAAAGCGTGATTTTCAAGCGTGATCAACTTGGTTTCAGAAGTGATAAAAGTCAGCTTTTGTATACTCATAACAAAGTAATGTTCTCTACAAGTCTATGCTACATATCGGGCTTCATATCGCTTTCAAACAGTCAAGTAAGAAGACAAACCATTATCCGTCGGAATCCGGCGCTGACCTTAGCTACTGTATATAGCTAACGCGACCATAAAAGAGGACCCGGGCCTCTTACTTTTTCATTGACCTTACTTGACAGATGATAAAGTGGTCCTGCATTTGATATGATGTGTTGTTTATCCTCTGGGTCGTATATATTAGGTTGTCTCATAATTAATGCACGTTTTTATTTGCTTGCTTTAACAAAGCAACCAGACTCAACCCAACAAAGGTTAAGGGGTACTGTTCGATAGAGCAAAGCAAGCTCTACAAGATAGCACTCATGCCTTTGCGCCATGCTCGATACACGGAGAGTTCGAACTCAAAATCGAAAGATTTCCAAATGCCCAAAAAATCGAAAAAAATCAGATCTTCGTCCAAATAATTTCTACGGACCTCCCACTCGCTCACATCAATACTATCGATATCTGATATCCATATGTGCGATTGCCGTATTTTTTCCTTGACTAGAAACTGAAAAAACGAAAATTTTCGTGTATTTCTAAAAGCAATGCTGAGCCATTTTTGCATATGTAGTTCTATACTACAAGCCTAGGTAAGCATAACTGTAGGTTTTCAGCCTACTTCGAGCGGTACCTTTCGAGAAATGTCGATTTTAGCACTGAAACTGAAACGAAAAAATCCGAACTCGTTATTTTTCGAAAACTACCGCTTGGAATGGGCTGAAAACCTACAGTTATACTTACCTAGGCCTGTAGTATAGAACTACATATGCAAAAACGGCTCAGCATTGCTTTTAGAAAAACACGAAAAAATTCATTTTCTCAGTTTCTAGTCAAGGAAAAAATACGGCAATCGCATATATGGATATCAGATATCGAGAGTATTGATGTGAGCGAGTAGGAGGTCCGTGGAAATTATTTGGGCGAAGATCTGATTTTTTTCGATTTTTTCGGGCATTTGGAAAACTTTAGATTTTGAGTTCGAACTCTCCGTGGATCGAGCATGGCGCAAAGATATGAGTGCCATCTTGTAGAGCTTGCTTTGCTCTATCGTACCCCTTAACCTTTGTTGGGTTGAGTCTGGTTGCTTTGTTAAAGCAAACAAATAAAAACATGCATTAATTATGAGACAACCTAATATAACTAATCATTTCGCTATCCATATTCAAGTAATGAATGGGGACCTGAGTTGGCGAACAACTGATGTTGATGGATGACGTAGAAGTATCACTTACGAAATCTTATTGTTGTTGAGGATTTCAAAACAAGACTGTCATTGGTAAGGATGACTTCATCTCCCTGAACGATGTACACGTATTGGGAAGCAGAGGTTCTTCTAACTTTATCAAATAGAACCCTTTTATATTCTGGCGAAAAGTCATTGGGATATCTCGATAATGAAAAATTCATGAGATATTCTAAAGAAACATCAGTTCCTTAGTATTTGCACGTTATGGTATATTGAGAGAGTATTCAAGATGAGAATTTCCAGTACCATGGCATGATAGAGAGTAAACAAGACAAATAATAGTTTCAGGATGATCTAATGATGTGGTAAGTAAGATTCATAATGTAATAAGTAAGATTCATAGCCAAAGGAAAGATAAGAGGCAGCTGGGTCGTCTTTTATGGTCGCGTTAGCTATATACTGTAGCTAAGGTCAGCGCCGGATTCCGACGGATAATGGTTTCTAGTAAGAAGTGCTGCCAAAATTCCAACCGGCGCGTATTTCACGTTGAGTGCTTCAACTCTTCGGATTAGCACAAGGCCGAAACAAGTCGAATAAAGCTCAAACACTTACTGTGGAATCTTTGAGAGTTGAGCTAGCGAATCACATAAAAATTGGGTAGGAGAGCTTTCGGAAATAAAGTTAATGGGGTCAGGCGCAACCCCTCAAAAGGTCAGGCCGCCTGAGCTTCTAAGGGGTTGCGCCTGATCCTCTTGACTTGCCCTCAAAAATCAAAAATCGCCCCTTTTTCGATATGAGTATTGAGCGCAAAGCCTCTACTTGCTATATTGAAAATTTGGAGCCAAACACTCCACCCCTGTGAAATTACAGCTCTGAAAAGAGGACTATCCAAATCTAAAACTTGCCGTCGAGTTGCGTGTGGTTGTGCAATCGCAGAGAGTCGGGCCTACAGACGTTCAAAAAATAGAAATCTGTAGTGAAGGCTAGTCTTCTTCAATATATAACACCCTGAGGACTTGGAGGTGAAGCGGAGGGTCGTTTAGAGGCTTTCACAGAGGGGGGGGGTTGAAGGACCTGTGCCTGACTGCTCAACCCTGGGGATCATTCTGATGTCTTTTTGATCTGGACATGTGGAAGCAGAGATCCCATGATTGGAGTCCGTTCTGCCCGCTGCTGCGTAAATGAGCTCCGGAGGCAGGTTACAGAAGACTGGGAGTAGATTAGGGCTCGTTAGGCTAGGGTACAATCGTTCACTTCGTCTTCACTGATAGCTAAGTTGTGAGGCCTGTTATGACAACATTTGTGGGATTCCAGCTCCCATGCCCTAAACTCTGTTTAAGAGTAGCAATCAAGAGCCTGATAATGGAAAACCAAAGCCAAACATGCGTAGCCACTTTAGTTTCTATTTTCTATATGCCTATACGCTCCTACTGCGCGGTCTCGTTTGGACCGTGCGCTGCACCTTCTGGGCAGTAGTACAGTCCTTTTCAATCCGGAGTAGGCGAAACATTCCATGTGGAGCAGCGCGTCCGCACCGCCACTGGCTCAGTTAGATGATTAAAATGAAGAGACGCAGACTGCGAAGCGGCGGGAATCGTTGCGGACTCCCGCCAGTCTAACTTCGCCTAAACTGAGTTGAAGCTTACTATAGTCATTTTCGCGCTCTTCAATTAGCATTTTGCGATCACTTCTTCGAGTAAGTTCAGAGAAGCGAAAAGTCGATAAATCGATTACTTGCACGTATTGATCTTGACTTGGAGACATATAAGAGCTTGCTCTATCGTCACATTAGTCGCAGTTTCTGCAACAAAAGATATTACAGCTTTTGTGTAAAATAAAAGATCTAGTCAATTCTTTCAGCTATGTTATAGCAAAGTCAGTGGGATCCCCATTTTTCAACTGTAGTCTTGATTTTCTTAGTTACAATTACTGAGAACTTTATGTTGGTGATGCTGGGTATTAGTCTTGTGTGCTTTGTCATGCAAGCAGGACAGTAGTTTCGCTTCATGTATGGTACCCCAAAATTTGGATAAGCCCTTTTAAAAACGAGACAATGCTCCGCCAACGCTGCAAAAAATTTTGCAAATAAATCCGTTGTCAATACGTTTTGCTCGACTCCAGCTTCTCCTCAAGTTTGTAATCCAGAAGTAGTATGTGTAAGAACTTGAACAGGACATTTTATATACAGATATGAGTATTTACAACCAGTATTAACACTATCATAGAGGTCTAGATATGACTTTGGATTCCATGGCTTTTAGCAGCATTGTCATGTCATCGGTCTTGTTCAAATATTGTGCTATTACGGTCCTTGCGAGAAATGGACTATAGTCAGAATCTATGTTGATTGATAGATTTCTAAAGGTTACTCCAGCTTCTTTAGCAACAAGCCCAGTACTGAACACGTCATCCAGCTGGAAGTGCTGGTCTCAGTCTTGGAACAAAGTCTGTCTTGATTGTAGTGTCCCTTTGGCTGCTACGCGTCCGCAGCGCGGCTGTCTCGTGTGCTAACCTTCAATTAATGGGGTATGACGCCCATGTCAAACGCATCCGTACGCTTCCTGAGAAGCACGCGCAAAGAGGACGTGGCGATTCAAAAGGGACACCACGATTGAGACAAACTATATGTCACTTACCCAAACATGTGGAATTTTGGTTGTGGCATCATGCAGCGCTTTGAAAGTGGCTGGAGTTCCGGCTATGAGAGGGCTGAGACAGTACTTAGGAAAGTACTGGAAAGGGTAATCTTTTTCGCTGATATACCTAAAAATGGTAAAGTAAAACAATTGAAAGGAGGAGAGTTTATGAATGGCAACCATTTGCTTGTTTTATCCCGAATAGAAAATGGCTTCTCAACTGTCCGGCAGTGCAAAGTATTGGTCGTTCTGTTGATTCCAGACAAATAACTGAACATCCATTCAATATTGAAAACAATATCGTCGTCAACTTTGATGACCGCAAGTACATTCGTGCAGTTCCGGCTAATAAATCGAGAGTAGGCGTAGGTCTAAACAACCCCAACTACCCGTTGATTTGTTGTGATCTTCTTATATTCTTACCTTGAAAGTTAGATTCCGGTAGGTGTCCAAGAAATCAGCTTGTAATAGGTCGCCAAATCTCGTGTGTTCTTCAAAAAGTGCCTCGTTCACGGTGAGATTCGACGAAAGCCCAAGAGGAAAGATAATGGTGAAATTATGCTGCAAAACCTTGCATATAATCACAAGTTGAAATCCAGCCAAAATGTTTCATCTTCTCACAATTCGATCAGTGTAATTGGCCAAGAAAAGCACTTCGAATTCTAAAAATTTATTCAGTATATTGTTTCTTTATGGAAGTTTCCATCTGGGGTTCCATGCAAATGGTTCAATGGAAAACGATAAAAAGTGCTCGTCCACAACATCTCAGAATGCTACTATTTATTGTAACTTTTTCAAAATCTCTAATCATAAATTTCAAAACGTCATGCGCAGCTCAGCTTCATTGTAAAGCGCTACTCTCATTTTTAAGACCGTAACAGAACTATTCAGGGCATTTTTTCATCTTAACTGGGATAAATCTTGAGAATCGATTGCGTTCTCCATCGTTGTGATTATTTGTGACATATATGTGATAGCAAAACACCCTAATGGTAACGTTATCATTTTTTATTTTTGCTCAGGATCTAACGATACGAATAGTGGAATTTTTACTGAAAGATTGCTGCGCTTTTTGGAGTTTGAGTTCCAAATTGACATGCTTTACAATCAACCTAGTATCAAAGAACTATCTTTGGCAATAGTCCAAAATAATGATTGATCCAAATAAAGAAAAAATCCCTCTAAAAACCTCTGGTATTTTGTACAGAACTGAAAATTTAAATTGCTGCTATCGAGTGAACTCACAGCTTCCATCAAAGAAAAGAAAAACACTAAGAAAGTTTAATCACTTTTGAAGTTTTGCTACTGCAAGACGTATACTGCCGAAAGTTCTGGTAACCGAAAATACTCTGATCGCAAGTGCATTTTAGGATAACTGATTGATTTTTGAAAAGTTATAGGGTGTAAGTTTACCTGGCTAGAGTAATTGCTGAAGACTTTGCGAAAAAAGGCTCTTCCTTCGAAATCATCCGTTCTTGTCTGATATACCATTAAATGATCATGATCCTTGCAAAAATTTTGATCAGGAGCAAGCAGGAATGTGGGATCATAGTCAAGCTAGAAAAACCTGGTTTTCCAAAGAGTGTGACCCACAAACTGGACACCAAATACTTGTAAAAGAACAAACCCTTCTCTGTCGAGCTGACCTTGTTTGCATGTAGCATTCAAGTGGCATCTTTGTCATTTCAAGGTAGAAGAGCAAAGTGATGAGGATGAGGAGATATGCTTGCGCTATTCCAGGTGAAGTGAAATTCGAACATGCAGACATATCCTGCAATGATCGAATTTGTTGCATGAATGTCCATTAGTTTCGAGCCTTCGAGTAAAATGAATTATTTCCTGGATCACTAACAAAAAGGTACTCAAAGTATTCTTTTGAATGGCCAGCACGAGCTCTTTGCAATTTAGTGAAATAAAGGAATTTGTCCACTTTCTGAAACTGTGATTTAGCAAATGTGATTGATATGAAAAAAGGTAGGAAAACAACACTGTTCAAACATCAAGTCCAAAATTTCTATCGCTTTTTTGGTCTATATAAGGTGAGCATTAGAGAGAGCACTATTTTAACATCTTAATATGTGCTATGCCTTCTTATCATGGCTTTTAGCTGGAGATAACTTTGGTTGAAAGCACCGTCCAGACAAAATTTATGCTCATCTGATTACTATTTAGTCTAAAGAAAGCCCTAGCAGTAGTACATTTGCGTTAGTCCGGTCTTCTAATGTTGCCTCTGAATGGAAAAATTGGATCTGGTACTCGCGAAAGTGCAGAAAGCCACGCCCTCCCTATAAAGCCCTGCCCACCCATGTATTAGGTTGTCCGGAAATTAATGCCCGTTTTAAATTTCAACCGCACTGAGTCATACACTTCTCATCACTAAATAGGTTGCAAAGCACCATTCGATAGAGCAAAGCAAGCTCTACAAGATGGCCATCTTGCTTTTGCAACAGCTCTCATCCATCTCGAGTTTCGAGCCGAAAACTAAAAAGACTCAGCAGTCCGAAAAATCGAAAAAAATCGTAACTCAGTTCATAAAAAACCTACAAAAATTCTAACTTATTCACACAAACACTATCCACATAAGACATCAATATACGCCGTTGCCGTATTTTTTTCTCTGTTAGAAACCAAGAAAACGGAAATTTTCATGCATTTGCCAAAGTGATGCTGTGCCGTCCCCACATAGGTAGTTGTATACCACAAGCCTGTAGAAGTACAGACTTAAATTTCCAGCTCTCTACAAGCTTTAGTTCTCGAGAAATACCGAATATAGCTTTCCCTAGTTAGGTGGTCGAAGCTAAAATTCAAATTTCTCGAGAACTAAAGCTTGTAGAGAGCTGGAAATTTAAGTCTGTACTTCTACAGGCTTGTGGTATACAACTACCTATGTGGGGACAGCACAGCATCACTTTGGCAAATGCATGAAAATTTCCGTTTTCTTGGTTTCTAACAGAGAAAAAAATACGGCAACGGCGTATATTGATGTCTTATGTGGATAGTGTTTGTGTGAACAAGTTAGAATTTTTGTAGGTTTTTTATGAACTGAGTTACGATTTTTTTCGATTTTTCGGACTGCTGAGTCTTTTTAGTTTTCGGCTCGAAACTCGAGATGGATGAGAGCTGTTGCAAAAGCAAGATGGCCATCTTGTAGAGCTTGCTTTGCTCTATCGAATGGTACTTTGCAACCTATTTAGTGATGAGAAGTGTATGACTCAGTGCGGTTGAAATTTAAAACGGGCATCAATTTCCGGACAACCTAATACTGCAAATCGTCTGTCTTTGAGATGGAGCTCCCAGAAATCGAGCTTTTTGGGAGTGGCACATTTTGCACTTCACTTCCATAATCAGGGCCACGGGACGGCCCCAGGGGAATGACAAAAACATAGAGATCGAAAATTTGGGTAAGATGCTGCCTTTAACGCATCGGCATAAATTCAAGTTGCAACCCTTTATAGCGCCATGAATGTCCTTCTATCTATAATCAATAAATTTTTCGCTATATAAACCCTCATAAAAGTCAGCAAAACATTTCCTATTTTGCCTTCTTATCATCATCTTTTTCGAACAGCACTTTATTCTGCTTGTACAAAAAAGGATAGCTGATTATGGTATTTTATTTCAGGAAAAGTCGACTGAGCGTTGCTGGTGGCGAAAATGTTTTGGAAAATAGTTTTTATGGTATGAAGTGATAATAGTTTGTTTCTTAGGATCTTCTCCAGATTACATCACTTTCAGGCGATGCTTCTGTGTTTCGTATATAGCAGGGCTAGCTATATCACTGGTTACACTGTTCAGGTTACATCTCCTGATCGAAGTCACAGAGGAAGCACGAAATCCACAAAGGGAAGACGGTTGTGATAATGCCGATTTTTATGACATTAATGAACTGAAGATTTGAAAATTGAATGACCTTTTTTGTTTCAAGCATATTTCAATTTTCAGTGGGGACTAGTTGAAATTATTACTTTAGAACGCATACAAATGCGACATCCACTGTTCAAAAGTTAAAAAAACAAGGTTCATACCCGTTATCCTACAGTCAGTCGGGTTTTAGAAAAGGTAAGTCACACAGAAGCTATTTATCTATCGGTTGTACTGGTAATAAAATTACAAATGATTAGGGATAATGACTAGAGGACGTCCGCGAGCGCAGCGCAAAACCTAAGCAATGCGTTCGCGCGGGATTGAACCGCTTGAGTCGGTGAACTGCCAATGAGAGTGGCAGCATGTTGTTGAGAAAAAAGTTCATTTCTGAGTCGATGGACCGCATTTTGCATTCTCGCAAAGGAGGAAGTTCGGGTTTCTCCGCTACTTCTCGTTACCGTCATTTTACCACTTTTTCTCACAATTTTCGAAGCTGAAAGCTTATTAAAAACTAGCTGGCTTACCCGGCTCCGCCCGGCCCTGTCAAAACACTATGATAAAGCTCCCATCCCTATCCCTGTACAACCTTTCCTTGTGCCCACTTCTACGTACCAACTCCAACTCTGTGATCCCGCTGTGTTAGTTACCAGCATGCTCACTTATTCCTATGCGAATTCCCAGCCCCTTAGCTCCAAATTTAGAAAAAAAAATGATTAAAATCGGTAAAACTAATGGATATTTTCACCACCCCTCCCTGTGCCAACTCCCAGCCTTGTAGGTCGAAGTTCGCAGAAAATCGATAAAAATCGATAAAATCGATATCGATCAATAACAAAAAGTAGCCTGCGACATCCGCCCCGCCCCCGAACTGTATGTGTGCAAAGTTTGGTCCCAATCGATTCAGAAATAAAAATTTCTCTTCGGAACATACGTAGAGACAGACAGACATACAGACATACAGATATACATACATACAGACAGACAGACAAACAAACAGATATTCAGCTTTATATACAAGAATGAGCGTACAAGAAAATGTGACGTTTTTAGCTTCATTTAGGAGAATCCTGCGCTCTGTCCCCTGCTAATACACAAAATAGTCTGGAGACCGCTTTACGTGTATGTACTTATTATATCATTAATGTCATTTAGTATAGAAATATATATAAGAACGCTAGATGTAGCTTTAATGAACTGCACTGTCGATCGGATTTGTAAAGAAATGATGGCGCTTTTACAAATGTATAAAAACCGATTTGCTGGAAATACAGAGTGTTTGAAAGTTCGTGTCATCAAGTACTTCCAGTTCAAAATTTGACGCGCTTTTTGTTCTATTGTGCTCATTAGGTTTAGAAACCATCAATTCAGTGAAACCAGCTTTCCTTTTGGTTTTTTAGCTTTTTTACATTAGATTGAAACACATCAATATAGCTTTCCAAAACACTTTCCTTGAAACGCTTGTTACAAAAAAGGAAACATGATTCACAGAAAACTACATAGGTGTACTTTCTGAAAGCTCTTTCTTTGAGGTTTCTTACGTGTGATTTTAATTTTCGTAGAAGTAAGTTCGTTTTTGAAATATCGTGCCTTGAAATAAAGAGATCGAGTTTCAGGATTTTTTCGTCAACAAAGCACAGCACCAAAATTTTTTAATTTTATCTTTAAAAACTTCACAAGCGTGCAAAATTTTTGAAAACAAGTACGAAGGTCAGAGAGTTGTACTTGTTTTCAAATACAAATACATGTTGAAATAAGACCTCCAAATTTTTTTAAACTAAAAAAATCTCAACGCAAACTGGTGCCGCGACTGTCTGCTGTGATTCAGCACATGGAAAAATCTTCGTTAGCAAGCTACTGAAGAACTTTTGTTATACGAAGAAAGCGTAACTCTAGGACTATTTGTAGTAAACAAACCAAAAGTTGTTTTTCTTTTTCGGGGTTGAAAAAAAAAAGAACCAATAGATAACGCACTCTCCAAGGAAGCTGATTAGGGTATCTTGAGGCAAAAAATATTTTTCTTTGTTGATTCAGTGGTTTCTAGGTTTGGCGAACACACATAGCAAAAATCGAATTAGCATTCGCAGTTGAAGTGCTTAAGGACACGAGCTTTTCAAACACCCTGTAAGTCTATTAATGATGTTTTCCTAGTCGATGCAAACACCTTTCTTGCCGTAGGAATAGCCGATTAGAGATTCTGAAATTCTAATGTTTTTCATTCTCATATATGACCAATTCAAACACTGCATCAAGAATTGGTCCAATATGGAAAGTCTTGCACCACCATCCCAGATTACATGTTGGAAATGCCAAATTTTAACAAATTTTACCTCACTGTCTTCAATAGGGAAAATGTACTATTTGCAAAATTCTGTTTGATTGAATGCGACAGTGGTCCTGTCTATATTAAATCAATACACCAATCAAAGAAACCAAATAACCATGTCGAAGAGAAGATTAAGTGCTATACAAGGATTTTCTTCGGAAATGCTGAAATTTAATGCTGAAATTCATGATTGTAGCATGGACTTTTTGAAATTATAAGGAATTTCTAGAAGAAAAGCAGAAAAGAGCGAATTACGGCAATTCATCTTAAGGCAAGTACATATCGATGCCTATCTTTGTATGACATCTCATTGCCGAATGACCCGAATTTGATTGAATATGTTGTGCCACGGAAATGGAAACAAGCGTTATTCTATGTATCTCAAAGAAAGCACATACTTTTATAGCGAAAATTAGAGGAGAGCTAGATATTACAAAATCCCAGCATGAGTTGAGCGAAAGTCTGCCTTCCTGAAATCAAGCTATTTTTGAGTTTCGAGTTTTTTTTTTCTATGAGAGAGACGCGCCAGTAGTAATATGTAGCTGTTACTGAAGTAAATAGAATAATCTGAAGCGTTATGT